TTCGTCGACAATCTACTCGCGACAAAGCCAACGACCAAAATTTTTGGTTGGGAAAGTGTTTTGGTGACTAAAAACTGTACTTTTGGCAACTAAAAAATTAGTCGCCAAAAGTGTATTTTCTTGTAGTGATTTGATGAAGCCCCATGAAAATATAGGTTACTTCAGTGTCAAGTACACATCTATTGGCATGAAAACTTTCTTTTTTTTTTTCTAGAAAACATTTCGTGGAAACCTTTTTTTTTTTGTTACCTTAAAAACGATGCGCTACTGATTTATGATAGTGATGGTGATGTTGGTGTGGTTGTGGTTGTGGTGGTAGGGTGGTGGGGGCAATGACAATGGCAGCGGTATTGATAAGTTGGTGGTGGCAATAGTGGTAGGGTAGCAACAGTAGGAGTGGTGGCGGTGGTGTTAGTAGGGTGGTTGTGTGATGGTGGTATTAGTAAAACTCTATTCCGGAAAATGATTCCTCCTTCTTTGCAAAGCAAAAATAAATAAATAAATAAATAAAATATTTTTCAGCGAAATGTACTCATTTTCTATTGATCATAAAAACATTCTTTTGTCAAATTTTTTAGCTAAAACTAAATGAATATTAATGGAAAACAACTAGTAATAAGCAAAATTGTTCTGGTGATGTATTACTATTACAAAGCTATTCAAGTCTAAAAATTAAACTCAATTTTTAATTCTAATAATGTGACAATTAATTATGACATTTAGGCTCTTTTTGGGAAGAAAAAAGTTGGGTGTTTTTTATTAAAATAGCCACAAAAAACAAAATAGGCTTTTTAGCCCAATATGACAAAACATCACATCTAACTCATAATCATTACATTCTTTTTCTCACAAAAAAGCCAAAAAAATCAAAAGTCATTCCCAAACCAAGCATTTTAGCTCTAGGTTAAAATAGCCAAAAAAGTCAAAAAACCAAAAAGTCAACCCACTTCCCAAACCAACCCCTAAGGCAATACTTTCTCTTATATATATCTTCTCTAATCATCAATTAATCATATTACTTACACATCATTAGATTTAAAAAATGAGTTTAAAAAGTGAACATATATATCATTTTCCTTTATGCTATTATTTAACCAAAAAAGTTGTGAAATGAGAAAAAGTAGTTCAAAAATAATGTAGGATAATATTTTAGGAGTATCTATATTTTTATTTTTAGTACAGTATTTTATTAGGAAGCTTGTAACTTTAGTAAGGAATATTAATTATTGGGTTTTTTAATTTGTTTTCCTAATTTTTAAGCTACTTGTTTCACAAACATTAAACTAATTGATTGCCCCTCTAAAACAAAACAACAAAAAAACTAATTGACTGTTTCTAAATTTTAGATTGCTTCGTTTCCAAAACAAGGTTTATTATAAATAGCCCAAGGGCAAAACAAATTTTCATTAATAATATTGGGAAGTTTTATTATTTAGTTCTCATGTCAATTTCGTTCTATCACATAAAATTAAGTGTCATATAAATTCAAATTTAATATGATATAGGTCACATTTAAAATAAATCTGAACCATACACTTCATTTTTTTATAATTGTTTATACTAGTTTTGGGGCGTTAGACCTTGAGAACAATTTAAGAATTGTAAATCTGTTATTAAACGTTAGAACTTGGAATGAAGTTGTTGTCCCCCTTGTCCATAAATTGTTGGCATTTTGTGTGTTTTATGAATAAAATAAAATATGCCAACTAACCATACTCTCTATTCTGTTGCCATGTAAGAACAAAATTTGGTGCACACCAAAACACAATGTGGATAGTGTAGTACAGGATTTGAGTACAATAAAGCAGTACATAGCCATTAACCCCATGTTGCAATACATATATATATATGCAGAAGAAGAGGCAAATATTTGACAAAGTCTGGACATAGCCATTAACCCCAGATTGCAGAATCATCATTGAGTCCAGCATTGATGAAAAGCCCTGTAGTTTCTCTTGGATTTCTTCATCAATGCTGCACTCAATCATGTTTTCGCTCTTCTGAGACACTTTAATCAAGATTGTCAATTTCGTAAGCTTCCTTCACCTTTTCCTGTTTTGTTTTGTTACGTGTTTGAAGCAACCGCGCTTCCAAAGTTTTGTACAACTATGTTTTTGGTACCACTGAATTGCATTTATTACAATATATATTGTAATTAGATGTTATATTACTTCAATTTTAAACTGGAATCATTAATTCCCCCCCCCCCCTACACTTGTTTTAGTGTAATAAAATGTAGAAGATAATCCCTATAGAAAAATCATGAGTATGGATCAGATTCTCCATCCAACTTGGTTGCTTTGGACAGTTGAAAAATCCAACCCATATTTCTCTTTAAAATCCGGGTATTAAGGAGAAGAAAATTAGAGCCTTATAACTAGTACAGATAGGGCAACTCCAAACAATGTGGGACATATTCCAACACACCCTCCTGGACCACAGCGCACACTAGTTGGACAAATAGTCCACTAGTCACAGGCCCAACCAAGCACCAAACTCTGATACCAAGTTGAGAGATGTAAAATATTAGTTTACCCTAATTTGAGTGAGACCATATCTATATATAATCAATATAAGATACATGGAAAAAGGAATTAAATAATTACGCAATTAAACCCTAAAATTAAATTCTTAAATTAAATATATAATATTCCATATTCCAACATGGACTCGTGTGAAGAAGGATTATACAGAGAGCCACGCGTGTGTTTGTGTGTGTGTGTGTGAATTCAACATCAGCAAACACTCCACCAAACCAACTGCATTTCTGAGAGTTGCTCTCATCCACCCCTTGCTGCCCATTTTAAAGTTCTGTTTTGATTTTAAATTTAAAAATAAAAAATAAAAATAAAATATATATATAAATATATAAAATATTTAGAAGTAAATTTTTTCGTGAATTATTATATGGTAGTTGTTGATTTATTTAAGAATCAATCAGTTAAAACATAACGCATGCTACATATGTTTTAAAAGTCTCTCACATTACTTTATTTGAGTTACATTTTTTTTTCTTCACAAATCTTTTTTTACAATTTAAATCCAAACCCAACTTAAATGTTGAAGTATAAAGTAATCAATTAGTTGTATAAAGTAATCAATTAGTTGTCAACTAGGGGTGATTATGGATCCATCCAATCGATCTAATCCGACCGAACTTGATTGATTTTGAGCTGATGCATGTCTTTTGGCGGACGAATGTAGATAAAATATTTTAAAATTTGCGAATACGGTTCAGATAGTGGATCAACCATCCCGCACCTGCATAAACTCGATCAGTTTGTATATAAAGTTCAAAAAAAATAAAAATAAAAATAAAAAGAAACCACTAACAAGTAACAACATAGAATAGAAATAATAAAATATATATTTTTGTGAAAATGAAAAACAATACCTAAAAAATATGCATGTGTGGTGCCATAGCCTATTATAGACAAATAATACCTATATATATTTTTTTCCAGATTACTAATTATTGGAGATTGTAAAAATTATGAATTATAATTTTAAAAAATGTCCAAAATTTGTAAAGTCCAAATTGCCTAACCGATAGCATCCATCCGTCAATCCGCACAACCCACTCACTCCACATCTGCCAAACTGGTGAACAGATGTGGATTGATTTTTTCTAAACCGTCTTATTTTAAACGAATGGCGGATGAGACACCACCTGCCAACTTGGATGTCATCCTCATGCACACCTGGTGGCGGCCCAATAATTGGAGCAATTTGACCATGGATTAGAAATAGTAATATTGGAGTTCCACCTAATGTGAACTTTTGGCATTAGACATTCTACTCTTATATGTTTTTGCTACATCACATCTCTATTTTGTACATATTGCATTCTGGTATTTCAATGTATTGAATAAGTTTAATAGTTTCTTAATTAATAATGCTTAAAGGGTCACAAAACATGTTATGATGTAGATGTTTGTTTAGTTCAATCCGATCTAAACTCACATTCGAGTTGGATTCATGTCCCAAAAGTGGATATGATATGGATTTGAAGACTGATATGTGAGCTAGATTGCATTGCCATTTGTGTGGTGAGCTTGTTGCTGGTATTCCACTGATTTAGAATCGTTATTATGAGGACCGAATTCCTTGTTTCTTATATTTGGATTTCCCTCCATGGTTTATTCCACGATTTAGACACTTCAACATATTATTGCTTTAGAAAAAAGGAATTTGATATTTTCTCTTCTTTCTTGAGCAAATTAATGACCTTATATGATAAGTTTTCGTACTTAATAAAATTGAAAGTGTGCAAAATCACCGCTTAATTACAATTAAAAAAAAATCAGCTTAATTAATCAATTTAACTCTTATATATGCGTATGATTGTGAACCAAACATAATGTAGCCAAGGAAATCCTTGGACAAATTAACCTCTATACTTGTTGCAGCATGGGATTTTTTGTTCCCAAATTCTTCTATCATTTTGTTCCAATGTACTTTTATTGAATCATGCTTTGAGATTCCACATAATTTAATGATTTGGAATGAATTGAAGATAGGCAGACAGGAGGGCAAAACTATGGATGCTCGCAGCTTGAGAACTTCTAATCTGACATCCATCCAAAACTAGGCGGATTGGAGAAAATAAAATCAATTTGCAACTGTCTGCCGGATTGGCGGATGCGGATTGAGCAGTTTGATGGATTGGCGAATGGATGTGAATCAGTTTGGCAGTTTATATTTTACAGATTTTGAACATAATAAAACTTGTCGACATAATTTTTTTTTTTTTTTTGAGGATATCATTCCAATCTGTCTTATTAATAATAACCACAAACATGGATAATAATCCAAAAAACCTCTATGTTAACAATGACTGCAAAACTAGGGGTAGTCGCAGTTTGATTGCGATCTAGTAATCTCCAATCAGCCATCCGTCCAAAACTAGGCGGTTTGGAGAAAATCAATTTATATCTGTCCGTTTATCATCACGCATCCATCCAAAATGCTATGGATCGGTTCGGTTCGGTTCGATCGATTTAGACAAATCGGTATATCCACTGAGCATCCTTGGGCAAAACGATTTGAGAACAGATTATTTTTGGAAACACAAACGAATCAGTGGCATATAAGCAAGGCAACAACACTAGTTTGCTACTGATTAACTTGGACTTAGCATTGTTAAATGCACTTTCTTCAAGTTAATCATATTGATATACTCACTTTCTTCATTTTGGGTCCTGTTGGTGGACTCGTGTTTTTGAGTTTACTGGAATAGCAGGATGGAGATTCCTTGTGGAACACTTGTCAAGATTTTTTTTCCTCCAACATTTTCTCAGCTTTAAGTCCACCAATCACTCTTTCATAGGTGAAGATTCCACATATATCATCAACTGGAAAAGCATCTTTAATTCACTTTCTTTTAGACTTTGACACCCACCAATCCTTGCAAAAGTAAGTTCATCTTTGCTGACTCTTCTTCTAGTCCTCTTCATAAGCTCTCTGGTCTTTATACAGATCAATTCAAGACTAAAACATCATATATATCATGTTACCCTCTTCCTAGCTGCTTCATTGATCTGATATTTTCACCCAATTCAGGTATATGTTTCCAAACTCTCTTGAAAATGTTAATGACAGCCCAAATAATGTCTTGATGAGAGCAAGAAAAAGTGCTTAAAATATATTATAAAAAAAATGCTTGAAAACATGTAAAATTGTTTAGAAATGTGTGAAATGTGCCTTGGGAATCTACTGTTTCAGCAATTTTTTCAAATTTGATAAGCTGTTAATAGGTACTATCTGTTAATTTTGTTAGCATACATGACCTTTTCCAGGGTTGGGACTTGGCAGTTCCATATAGAATTCATCTGCATTTAGCAGTTTCATTTTTGATGTAATCACTGCCCAATATTCCATTCTGAGTAACAATATTATACAAACTAACAAATCTTACAAAAAAAAATTTCTCACTATATCAGTTTCATTTCCTTCCGGTTTATGTTTCTGTCTTCCAATCAATATTGCTATTGTTATATATAGAGAAGAAGCTATGGCTATTGCTGATACAATTGAAGCTCCAACTAGGCTTGAGGTTTGTGGCTCAAAACTTTATATTTGTTGATTTCTTTCGTTTCTCCTAGATAGAGTTAATTAGTTACATCTTATTACAAAAACACTGATTTATGTTCTTATTTTTATATTAATTTCAGGGGAAGTATGGTGCAATCGTCGTATGTTGGATTCTTGGACTCGGCTCCCTTGTCTCCTGGAGCAGCATGTTGACTATAGAAGATTACTATTCTTTGGTGTTCCCGAAAAGAGTAAGCAGCCCATTTTATATTTCCAATTTCCCATCCCTCCTTTCTTTTTTTCTTTTTTTTTCTTTTATTTTTTCCCGTGTGTGTGTGTGTGTGGGGCTAAATATCACTTTTATGATCACTAATTCAAAGCCTAAATTGACAATTTAATTATTATTATTATTATTATTTTTTTGATGTTAACAATTTATTTGATGAAGTTGTTCCTCTGGATTTGAAGCGATACCATCCAGCGAGGATGCTTACCCTTGTTTATCAACCATTTGCACTTGGAACAATGGCAATACTTGCATATAATGAGTCAAAGATCGATACAAGGAAACGTAACTTGACCGGATACATCCTTTTCTTCATAAGTACTTTGTCTCTCCTAGTTGTAAGTAGTCTTAACACTTCATTTGGTACTGTTGTTTTTGTCCCATAGTCTTATTTCATCTATATATAAGTCACCACATTCAATCTGGTTTTACTTTTTAAAAGTTGGATTTAGTCACATCCGGGAAGGGCGGTACTGGAAATTACATTGGTGTATGTGCCATTGTGGCTGCCTTTGGAGTTGCAGATGCTCATGTTCAAGGAGGAATGGTGGGAGACCTGTCCTTCATGTGCCCTGAGTTCATCCAAGTAATAAGCATTTTGACATTTAATTTTACTTTCCATCAATTGTTAGACTACTTTTGCTTTCATTTCCAACAATTTGAATTAAAATTGCTTACTTCATAAATATTCTTGTAATGAATTTTGCAGACTTTCCTAGCTGGCTTGGCTGCATCAGGAGCTCTCACGTCTGCTTTGAGGTTAATCACGAAAGCCGTCTTTGAAAAATCTAGTAATGGTCTGCGGAAGGGAGTTAGTACGTAAACTCTCTCTCCTTGATAGGCGATAACAATTTTAGAAAGTTTCTTGTTAATTATGTTTACTATTGTTGTCTTTTTTCGCAGTGTTGTTCCTTGCAATCTCAACATTCTTTGAGTTTCTATGCATATTCTTATACGCGTTCATCTTCCCTAGACTACCAATTGTGAAGTACTATCGCACAAAAGCAGCCTCAGAAGGGTCGAAAACTGTTTCATCAGACCTTGCTGCTGCTGGCATCCAAACAGAAGCGGCAAGCCGAGAAGTATGTCAGCTTTCTTTTTAGCGGAAATACTAAAAAAATAAGCTTCAATATACAAAACTTTAAAAGAGCTTCTGATGTCTATGTAGGTTGAAGCTGATGATAAACATCAACGACAGCGGTTGAGCAGCAAGCAACTGTTTTTTCAGAACACAGACTATGCATTGGACTTGTTTTTTATATATGTCCTGACTTTGTCAATCTTCCCCGGGTTCTTATTCGAAAACACTAAATCACATCACCAGTTAGGGTCATGGTAAGTGGTGAAAAATAGATCCCACAAGTTTCATGATTAAGTTTCTTCCAATACTAGTTTCCTAGACTATTTATTGTTACAACATGACAAAATGGCTCAAATTCTATCCCTCTTTCAGGTATACACTCGTTCTGGTAGCAATGTACAATGTATGGGATTTGATATCAAGATACATTCCCCTTGTGGAGAGACTCAAGCTAAAATCGCGAAAAGGACTTTTGTTTGCAACTATGTCTCGAGTCTTGTTTATCCCTGCGTTCTACTTCACTGCAAAGTATGGTGGTCAGGGATGGATGATAATGCTCATATCTTTCTTGGGACTAACAAATGGTTATCTAACTGTCTGTGTCCTTACAGAAGCTCCCAAAGGCTACAAGGTGGGTTAACTGACATTAGCCAATAGTGTTTAATATTGAATTCAAAATTTCTCCTCATAATGATCAATCATTGAGTTCTTTCTTGGTTTTGTAGGGTCCAGAGCAAAATGCCTTGGGTAATTTGCTAGTGTTATGTCTTCTAGGGGGCATATTTGCAGGAGTTTCTCTCGATTGGTTGTGGCTTATTGGCAGTAATGAGCAGTTTTAGAGGACAATTTCTTCGTATTCCAACCTCTCAAAATAAAAATTGTGAAATGTGAACTACATGTATCTTGATCACTTGATGAAGAAAGACAGTCTTGGATATGAAATAGGGTCATGAAAACACCATAGACAAATTATAGTGTGATTGTGTTCATTTTATTGTTAAACAAGTCCATCCTTGACTGTGAATTGTTCTTAAAAAAAAAATTAAGTGTGATACTTGTTTTCACTTCCTTGTAATGTGTTGATATGTTAGTTTATAGGGACAGTGTGAAACATAAAGATCAAGAATCCATTATTACTCATGCACAACATAAGCTTTATGGGCTATTTTGTGCAATAGTAGTGATACAGTAGGTAATTAAAAGAAACCGGAGACACAGACTTACATTCCATTTGCTCCCGTGGAAAATCTTCAAATGAAAAACGTTTTTTACTAAAATTCTTTGTAAAAAAATGTTTTCATAAAAGATCGTTTTTCTATATTTGGTTGCAACTTTAAAACAAATGGTGGTACATATGTAACTTACAATGTTAAAAAGACATTTATAGCAATTATATAATAATAGCGTTATATATAATTGTAGAAAATTTAATGTATAAAAAGAAATAGAGAATTGTATTATTGATTGATATTAATGTTATTATTTAGGGCAAATTACATATACACCCCCTGAGGTTTGGCTAAATTACAGATATCCCCCTGAGGTTTGAGAAATTACGAATTCCCCCCTGAATGTTGTATTTGCATAAGAAATTAGGGGGTAATTTGTTATGAAATATAAACCTCAGGGGGTAAATTGTTATGAAAATACAAACCTCAGGGGGCGGGACGTAATTTCCGAAACCTCAGGGGGGTATCTGTAATTTAACCAAACCTCGAGGGGTGTATATGTAATTTGCCCTTATATTTATTACAATGATTCATGATTCCTATATATAGAAGATGGTGAGTGTGTAGTAGGTAAGGAGTAGGTGAAGTGGAGGTGGTAGTGGTGTAGTGGGTTAGGTTTAGTGGAGTAGGTGAGGTGGTAGTGGTGTAGTGGGTTAGGTTTAGTGGAGTAGGTGAGATGGTAGTGGTGTAGTGGGTTAGGTTTAGTGGAGTAGGTGAGATGGTAGTGGTGTAGTGGGTTAGGTTTAGTGGAGTAGTTGTTTTTTTTTTTTTTTTTTTTCTTTGAACGGCAAAAGAAATCTTTATTGATGAAACATACAAAATATGGTAAAATACATCAATAAAGAGGAGTTTGGAGCTAACACATGTTGGCTCCATCCACTACTCACATGGTAAGGAGCCCACCATCCACATGGTGTGGGTGGCACCATGTGGTAAAAGAAGCTGGTGGAGGGCAACACCAACTCACTAAAGGAAGATAGTGAGGGTGGCACCACCTTGGCCAATTATGGCTATCACTTCACCTACTCCTCCTCTCTTGGTTATAAATTGAGATGAGTGAGGAGGGGTTGTATATATCAGAAATTGGAGAGTGAGAGCTGTGAGTTGAGTGAGTTTCATCTCCTCCTCTGTATTTTTGTATTTTGCTCCATTTTAGTGAAAATTCTCATTTCTGTCCGTGGATGTAGGCATTGGGCCGAACCACGTAAATATTGTGTTCTTTGTGTGTGTGAGATAATTTTTCTGGGTGTGTTTGATCCTAACAAAGTGGTATCAGAGCTGGTTGAGTCTCTTTCGAAAAAATAGAGTGCATTTTTCGGAAATGCCCAGAAATCAAAGTGGTCGAAATCCACTTTTGATCACACCAGATTAAAGCCCTCGACAAGATGATCACAGAGGCGAAAACCACGTCGAAAACGGAGATCGGACGGCCACTCACGCACCACACGCGCCTGTGATGCCGTTCCCACGCGCGACCACGCGCCGCACGGGCTTTCAGAGGAAGAAGACGCGTGCGTTCACGCGCAGACACACGCCGCACGCACGCGCGCCAGGCGCTTGCGCCAGCCGACGTCATCAGCTAAGTCGAGCCGCTGACCAAGCCGATCGAAGCCGAGCCGGGATGAAGCCAAAGCCACTGACTGAGCCGTTGACTGAGCCGCTGACGTCAGCCTGACGCCAGCCGAACCGGAGAAATAATCTGGTGCTTCTCAGCTGCACTAGATTCTGCCGATCTGAACCATTCATTCTGTTTTGGCTTGATTTAAGCCATTTGAGGTCCGATTTGGGTGATCCAATAGTGCTTTCCAATTATTTGGAATATTTCTGACACATCCGTACGGTCAGATTTTGCAAATAAGCTTTCAAAAATTTGCCGTCTTTCTTTTGACAATCCAAAGTGTTTTTCCGGCTAATTTGACCAGTCCGGACTCCACAGCAAAACTTGTTTTTCAGCTAAAGATCATTTTTGTATGATGGAGGAATCAACGTCGACTTCAGGTTCCATGATAAAGTTAAATGCTTCCAATTATGCCGTTTGGAAGCCCAGAATAGAAGATGTCTTGTATTGCCGAGATTTGTTTGACCCCATTGAGCTTAATGGAGTTAAACTACCAACGGAAAAAAACGAAGACTGGAAGCGGAAGAACCGAAAGACCATTGGCCAGATCAGACAATGGATTGATCACAGTGTCTTCCACCATGTCGCCCAGGAGACTGATGCCTATGCTCTCTGGACAAAGTTAGAAGGCATGTACCAGTCGAAGACTGCTCGGAACAAAGCCCTCCTGATGAGAAGACTTGTGAATTTGAAGTTGAAAGGCGGTATCTCTGTTGCTGAACACACCAGTGAGTTTCAAAATTTGGTGAACCAACTAACAACTGTCAAAATGGAGTTAGATCATGAGATGCAGGCCCTATTGCTGCTCAGTTCTTTGCCAGACAGTTGGGAGACATTGGTGGTGTCCCTCAGCAACTCTGCCCCAGAAGGGAAACTGACCATGAGCATGGTTACAGATGCTTTATTTAGTGAAGAGGCAAGAAAGAAAGAAATGGGTGGAGATCAATCCCATGCCCTCATCACAGAAAATAAAAGCAGAGGTAGAGGTAAGGGCAGGGGAAGAAGCAAAAGTAGAGGACACAGCAGAGGAAGATCTCAAGACAAAGGGAAATCCAGAGAAGGTACGAGCCGGCCAAAGTTTAAATGTTACCATTGTGGCCAGGAGGGTCACATAAAGAAGTATTGCTATGCCTTGAAGGGAGAACAACAACAAAGCAATAGACAGCCAAAGACCGAAGATGGGACCACTGCAGTTACTATCTCAGAGGATATTGCATTATTCTCTGTTGAAGAAGAAGAATGCCTTCATATGTCAGACAACCACACCGAGTGGGTGGTAGATACAGCAGCTTCCTACCACGCTACATCCCAGAAGGAGTTCTTCAGTACGTACCAAGCTGGAGATTTTGGTACAGTGAAAATGGGTAACTCCAGTTTTTCAAAAATTGTGGGAATTGGTGATGTTTATATCCAAACCAAAGTTGGGTGCACGATGGTGTTGAAAGATGTCAGGCATGTTCCCGATTTACGCCTGAATCTTATTTCAGGGATAGCCTTTGATCGACAAGACTATGAGAACTACTTTGGCAAAGGCATATGGAAGTTGAAAAAGGGATCTCTCGTGGTAGCCAAAGGACAAGCAATTGGCACACTATACAAGACTCATGTGGAGGTGAATTCAAATAGTCTCAACGCAGCAGAAGATGAGACGTCACCAAATTTGTGGCACAAAAGGCTGGGTCACATGAGTGAGAAAGGGTTACAGATTTTGGCAAAGAAGTCACTTATTCCCTTTGCCAAAGATGCAAAATTAAATCCTTATGACAACTGCTTGTTTGGGAAGCATCATAGAGTAGCTTTCCATTCATCATCCAGAAGACAATCAGAGTTGTTGAGCAGAGTATACTCTGATGTTTGCGGTCCCATTGAAGTGGAATCGTTGGGTGGTAGAAAATACTTTCTGACATTCATTGATGATGCATCACGGAAGGTATGGGTTTATGTCTTAAAGACCAAAGCTGAGGTGTTCCAGCATTTTCAGACATTCCATGCTATGGTGGAAAGGGAGACTGAAAAGAAGATGAAATGTCTCCGAACAGACAATGGAGACGAGTACACGTCAAAGGAATTTAAAGCCTACTGTGCTACTCACGGCATCCGGCATGAGAAGACTGTTCCTGGAACCCCACAACACAATGGTATAGCCGAGAGAATGAACCGAACCATTGTGGAGAAGGTCAGATGTATGCTCAAAATGGCAAAGCTACCAAAGCCATTTTGGGGAGAAGCTGTTCGTGTTGCTTGCTATTTGATCAACAGATCGCCATCAGTTCCACTGAATTTTCAGATTCCAGAAGAAGTATGGTCTGGAAGGAAGATCTCTTACTCTCACTTGAGAGTGTTTGGGTGCAAAGCATTTGCACATGTATCCAAGGAGCACAGACAGAAGCTGGATGACAAAGCCACTCCATGCATCTTTATTGGCTATGGAGATGAAGAATTTGGATACAGATTGTGGGATCCGAAACACAAAAAGGTCATTCGAAGCCGAGATGTGGTGTTTGTTGCTGTTGGTGTTATCAAGAATGTGGAGAAGAGGAGGCTTGTCTGATGGCCTCTTGGGCTGTGTAATCATATCGAGGTTGGTGGACCTCTCAATCATGTTGTCACCCTCAAAACCAGAGATGGGGACAAAAGGAATTTTGTCAGGGTTGTAACCAACCTTCTTCAGATAGGAAGAGACTTCCTGCACAATTTCATCATACCTTGCTTTTGAGTACTTAGGAGTGGTAGCATCCATCTTGTTACAGCAGCAAATCATCTGCCTCACTCCAAGAGTAAAAGGAAGGAGAGCATGTTCACGGAAGAACTTGGGCTCCTTCTCAATCTCCTTGCCAGATCGACGATCAATCTCAGCAAACTTGACAGCAATGTGGGAGGTGTGGCAGTCAAGAACTGGAGCATACCCATTACCAATCTGACCCGGGTGATTCATAATAATAACCTGGGAGGTGAAATTTGCAGCTTCCTTGGCTGGATCATCCTTTGAGTTGGATGCAACAAAACCACGCTTGAGATCCTTCACTGCAACATTGTAGATGAAGACGATCAAGACGGTGGTGTATGGGAGAACAACAGTGAGAGGAGAGGCAGTGGTGGTGGACTCGAAGAAATTTCAAGGTATGTGTAGAAAATTCTAGCAGATTAGGTTGAGGTCCGGCGGGCGGCCAAGGCGAGGTTGCCGCCCGCCGGTGAAGCGAAAAATACTAAGTGCTTAACCTTGCTCTGATACCATGTAGAAAATTTAATGTATAAAGAGAAATAGAGAGGTTTAGTGGAGTAGGTTTAAGTGGGTGAAGTAGGTGGAGAGTAGGTGGATGTAAGAAGTACTCCTTAAAATAATCCGACACATATCCCATACCTTTGTTCGACTGTCGGGTATCTGACACAAGTATTTGATTTATTTTGAAAAGTCCATATAACATAAATTTTAATTCATAAATTGTTTTTTCACCTTTCAAAATTGAAAAATATTTTTCATCCAAATGAACTTGTTTTCTGTAGACCATATAAAATATTTTCCATTAACTTTGTTTTTTATCATACCAAATGCCAGAAAATCCAGAAAAATGCTGAATAAGTTCTCTTCATATCTCTTCAAATTATGAGTGACTATTATTAGAACTTATAATATAATTCCCATTGTTGAAAGTATGAATGGTTACATAGGTTATGGGTTTGTTTTCTATGAATTCATTGCCACAAAGGAGAGACGGTAGAAAAATATGCAGTAATTAGTATATTCTTGGATTTTCATCATCTTTTTGAGTGCTTAAAGAGTCATTCTAAACGTCTCAACTTGCTTAGTTTTTTTTTTTTTTTTTTTTCTTTGAACGTTTTTTTTTTCTTTGTACGGCAAAAGAAATTTTTATTGATGAAACATACAAAATATGGTAAAATACATCAATAAAGAGGAGTTTGGAGCTAACACAAGCTCCAAGCTCTAGTTGGTAAGAAACCAACAAGCAAGCAAAGGAAGCAAAACAGACAAGAAAGGCAACCAAAATGCAGTCCCAGCTGAGCAGAACAGAGCAAAACAGGCCAAATGAAGAGCTTCTTCACACACCAAATCAACCAAAACAGAGTTTCTATACCAGCATAGGAGAATAACAGATCAATTCAGCCAAATCTAACAGACAAGACTAGCAGATCAGATCAATTCACCAAGTGCAATATGCAAAACTCTGCTGCCTAGAGGGTAATTAATGGAGAAGTGGAATTCTTTGGAAGAGGACTTTAACCAAATTGCAAGCGTTGTGATTATGAGTTCCTGCAACACCTGTATCTTTAGTTGGGAGGCTTGAAAGAGGCACTCATTTCTGAACTTCCAGATGGACCAAAGAGTGACCAGTGGTATGGCATGCCAAATTCTCCTCTCTTTTTTCCTGCAGGTGTACCTTGCCCATCTCAATTTGCTTAGTTAAGATGTGACTTTCACGGCTCTCTCTCAAAAAAAATCGTTTCCGTCTCTTCTTCACATCCTAGATCAGTTTCAGTTTGCCCGCTGGCTCCATCACCATTTTCTCTTCCATTTCACCTTGATCTTTCTTACCATCCAACGAACATATTTCTGTTTTTCATTTTTTTTTAATCACCGCTGTCACACTTTTTGCAGTTTTTCCTCAACTCAACGCCGCCATAACTTTCAAATTTGAACTAGATCTGTTGCAAACAGTCATCATATATGCTGAGTTATGCGTAGATTTAGGTCAGATTTGTTCTTGTGTGATGGAGATTGCGACATCTAAGTAACATAGCAACAACAAGACTTTGTAGAACATTATGATGGCTTTAGTTGGTGTGTTAACTATAAAAAATTAAGATTTTAAAGACAAAAATTTAGACACAAAATTACTTGTTAGGAAAAAAATATTTTTGCTATCAAAAGCTTCATTATTGTATTTTTTGTGACGAAATTAAACGTTTAATGATGAATTACTACCACTCAAAAAATAAATATTTTTGGACCGCACTATTTTGTCAAGTATATTTTTTTGCAATATTTTCAAAATTTTATTGCTGAAAGTTCTTTTTTTTTTTTTCCAAGACAATTTTGACAGGACTATCCTCACCACGGCATGAATTAGTTCCTAAATGTTTTTTGCAATAAATTTTTTCCTTTTAGAGACAAAATATTAGTCTTTACAACTCTTATTTGTTGTAATGATGTGTTGTTAGATGTTTTTGTGAGTTTTGTTTATTTTATCTTTTTTTTTTTTTTGGGTGAATAAATTTTATTTTATTTTATTTTATCTTTATGTTTTCTCTCTGCATGGAAGCTTGTTTTTCCTTCTCTGTGGGAGGTTTTCATCCCTTCTGTGCGAGGCTTTCTCTTTTTGTTTTGGGAATTTTATTGCACTTATGTATTTGCTCAATAATATGGTCCGTTTATTCCAAAATAAAACAAAAAATAAACATGATCCCGTCACTAAAATTTCTTGAAAGAAGAGAAAATTGAATGATAAATTGGGCTATGTTAGCTATGGCTCCCATTTTTAGATCAGTTGTCCTAAAATCCATCTGAAATTTACAATTTCAGCCATTCAATTTGATCAGAAATGGTGGACACGCCTTTTCATAAATTTTTTGAGGAAAGATTGATCAAATCGAATGGTGCAAACTCATCAAAACATGTTGATGTCAATTAGAGAAGGTATACAGCCCATCACCATATTTTTTTCCCATTCCCTTTACCAATCCAAGAACCGAACATAGCATAAGGTGGCATGATATTACTCGAAGCGTGATAAGCGAACCGTGTATCTAGACAAACTTAGACCTCAATCTACAAAATCATGAATCCCTAAATTTTTGGTTAAACTACCATTTGTGTGGATAAGAAAGGAAGTTAGTTTTTCAAATTCGAATTAGTGTTCACTATTTTTCTTGGAATGAAAAGTGGTTATTTTTGACAGTTATTAAGAGTTCAATGGTCAACATGTCCTGCACTCTCTTCTCAAGCAAACCCCTCTCTATCTATATATTAATTCATGCAGTGCTTATGCCTTTCAAGCAAACTCTTACGTGAATAAAACTTTAAGTAGTTCTTCAAGGGAATATTCTCAACCATTATCTATTCTTTTCTCTTTCTTTTTTTCTGGGTATCCAAACGAGGTGCCTTGTTCATGTGATATTCTCGAACTATATTGCTTTCTATATCCTCCAACTTTTCAATATATAAGCACATAAAGTTATACGTACATGATTTCATATAATCATAAAAGGGTTGCTCTTAATTTACCGTTCTGCTTAGAAATGCTTTCAGCATTCTCTTTGAAAGGTTTAATGGTCAATTCTCAAAAACATTTTTTTGTTTTGCACCAGCATTCAATTTCCATGTTCATTTTAATCTTATGTTAGTTGATTTCTTGTACATTCTTGAACCCTTCTCTGTATATACAAAAACTTTCTATTAACATAAATATATATGATTTTTTTGGAACTTTTTTTAGTAAAAGCATACAAATATTCGATTTCCCATCAATTTTTTGAATTTTTTATTTTTTAATATAGTAAAAACACATTCAAATTATGTTGACCATTTCTAATATTATTAGATGTCAAAGACTAACACAAAGTCCAGTTCAGCTTTTGATTATTAGGAATTGGCATAAGGAACCTATTCCAGTGGCGTGGGAGAAGCCCCATGTTGGGTGGACTAAATTGAACTTTGACGGTTCTTGCAAGGGAAAAACCGGGAAACAAGCATTGGAGGTGTCTTGAGGAACCACAAGGCTGAGTTTTTGTTTGGTTATGCTCAATCCATAGGAAAAACCACTAGCACCATTGCCGAATTGGCAGCGCTTAGAAGAGGCCTCGAGTTGGTGATTGAGAATGGATGGAACGATGTGTGGCTCGAAGGCGATTCCAAGACATTAGTTGAAATAATTGCACAAAAAAGACTTGTTAAATGTACAGAAGCGCAAAGGCACGTTAGTCATATAAATTTGATGATACCGGAGTTGAATAATTGTATTGTGACACATATTTATAGGGAAGGAAACCGAGCTGCTGATAAATTTGCACAAATGGGGCATCAGATGAAGAAGCCTCAAATTTGGCGAAACAATCCACCTTTTCAAGTTGTTCCCATTATGCATGAAGATGCAGAGGGTAAGATTGTTCTTCGGAGAAGATAGAGAAGAATCTGATCTTTATGTATGTTTTGGTTTGTGATGGTCGAGTTGTGCAGCATATGTAGATTATTTTGTTGTTGGATATTGTAGATTAAGGACTAAATTGTCTATGTAAATTTGTATCAATCAAATGTAAATATTAAATTGCAGTTGGACCAATTGTTAGTTTTTGTACTGGAAAATTTAATGAAACCCCATGAAAATATATGGTTACTTCAGTGTCAAGTACACATCGGTTGGCATGAAAACATTTTTTTTTTGTGGAAATCATTCCGCGGAAAGCATTTTTTGTTTTTACAAATAGTTTTTTTTTTTTTTTTGGTTGTGACCTTAAAAAAGATGTGTTACTGATTTATGATGGTGATGGTGATGTTGGTGTGGTTGTGGTTGTGGTGGTAGAGTGGTGGCGGCAATGACAATGGCAGTGGTAGTGATAAGGTGGTGGTGGCAATAGTGGTAGGGTAGCAACAGTAGGAGTGGTGGCGGTGGTGTTGGCAGGGTGGTTGTGTGATGGTGGTATTAGTATAACTCTATTCCGGAAAATGATTCCTCCTTTGCAAAGCCCAAAAAAAAAAAAAAATAGATAAATTCAGCCACTCATTTTCAATTGGTCATGAAAAATTATTTTCTAAAAATTTTTAGTTAAAACTAAATGAATGTTAATGGAAAACAACTAATAATAAGTAAAACTGGTCAATTGATGCATTACTATTAGAAATTGCTACGCAAGTCTAAAAATTAGACTCAATTTTTAAGTCCAATGATATGGCAATTAATTATGATATTTGAGGCAATATTTCTCTCATATCTTCTTTAATTATCAATCAATCATATTAGTTATGCATCATTGAGTTTAAAAAGTGGGCATATATATATATATATATATATATCATTTTTCTTTATGCTATTATTTAACCAAAAAAGTTATGAAATGAGAAAAAATAGTTCAAAAATAATGTAGGGTAATATTTTAGGAGTATCTATATTTTTATTTTTACTACAGCATTTTATTAGGAAGCTTGTAACTTTAGTAAAGAATATCAATTATTAGGTTTTTTAATTTGTTTTCCTAATTTTTAAGCTACTTGTTTTACAAAC